TTAGGGGTTTTGGTATAAGGTTTGGAATAGCAGGTGGCTTTCAAAATGGTGTAAAAGCGTAGGGGGGGTATAGGGTGTGGGCTAAGGTTGAACTGGGAAATGACCCTTCCTTGCTCTTTAAGAGATCTATGATAGGGTTCTCTATTAGGGGCCTTAACAATTAGAAAAGGGTTTTGGGGCCCATTATACTATAATTATCAGGAACCCCGCCGAAATAGTATTGTTAATTATTTAGGCCCCCGCATTACGTGTCTTATTTCGGTCTCACTTGGAACAGCCGGAAATCACGGCTGAAGACCTATAAATCTAGTAAACTTCTTTCATTAATGACTTCCGCCAAACCCCGAAGCCTCTTGCCCTAACCCAAACTAGAGGGGAGAACTGCAGCACGACTGGGACTAGGGCGCACCTGAGTTACAACCCACACAGACCTGTACAGGAATGGGAGTGAGATAGCAGGACTGCACTGCTCAGTGCCCCTACAGAATGCAGCACAGACATGCTCACTGCATTGTCCTGCTTCAGTCAAACGTTGGAATTCCCCAAGGGGAGGCCGAAGCTCAAGCTTACTTAGGGTATGGGATATGGAGGGATCATGCTGTGGCATATATTGCAGTTATCTACACGGCCCAGAACCCCAACATAGGGCACACATAGTTAAATCCTTAGTTGCAAGACCTCTGAACCCGAAACACCGGTGCTGGCCTCACCCTCATTGATGGATGCGTGGACCTTGCATCCCCTTCGGCAGCTCACCCGCAGCTCCTCGCACGCAGTCCGCTGCAGAGACCCACGGGATCAAGAGCGTAAGTAAGAGATCCGCTAATCAAGACTCCGACGGTTAGGGTTTAGGGCTAGTAGGAGCTAAGAGAAGTTATAATCATAACTGAATTTTGTTGTACATAGATCTTGAGGCTTCCTTGCAACACATGGCTGTCGGGCGTCGATACGATAAGGTCGAACCGCAGCTGTGAAGAAGCTTCACAAGTAACACACTCAGAGGCACATAGTTACACCGGATTGCGCTGGAGATCCTATAATTTGCGCCGCGATGATCCAAACTGGAAATCTGGACGGGTGGCCGCTGATCGATGCGCTTCCACGACTGATTGACCCTTGTTGTTGGCGCATGGGCAACTAATTACATCAAAGCCCGAATAGCACCTGCAGCTGCGCAGAGGGCAGGTCCAACTTCTCCAACAACAAGCTGACCTGTGGGATGCCCGAACACTTGGGCAAAGGCTGACTGGAAAGCTTGCAGTATAGTGCTACATGGTGAAAGAGGGTCATAGGATCAGGTGATACAAAAAAAGCACATAGCAGTGTCTCTCTTCCGGGCGGCCGAAACTTGGGGTATTCGGAAGGGTTTGCGGATGGTGGGCAGCCACCGCCACTGGGCCTGGAATCATTCAAGGAATCATTGAAGGAAACTAGCGCGAGCTGTGAAGTCGGACGGAAGTGTCACCAAGCCTGTTGCTGTTGTGCAGACACATACAATCACGCTTTCAATGAAGATGTGGGCCCCTTCCCCTGGGTCTGAACATTGCTCGCCGACTTGGAACCTCTCAGGCGGAAAACTGCAACCCAGAATCACCTCAAGCCCCAAAATGTTCAACTACCCCGCGCCCCCTCGACAAAAACCTAAAACACGCAGAGGCTGAAACACTGCCCAGGAAACGCACTTCGGGAGCCTCCAAGATCAACTAGACTGACAATGTCGAAATTGTGCACTGATGATAAGACTGATATCAACCGCACCATGACATGAACTATAATCATCCCAAGCCCCATATCCCCACCAGCCGCACGTGGAAGTGAATGGCGCAAACAGCCTTCTCCGGCACCTGCATGAACTAAGTTTACTCTTGAAGATATTCGGGCTTAATTGGGGTCTCGGGTTTTGCAGTTATGTGGGGGTTTGGGGTGCCCGACTAGCCAGGAGGGGAAGGACGAGTCCCTAACCTCGAGAATGCGCCAGGTGGCTCCAGGTTGGGTTCAGGGTTTGCATGGGGTTTAGGGTTGCTTTCACGGCTTAGGGGCAAGGTTGATTTTGCTTCGGAGGTTTAGGCTTTACGGTTTTGGCTTTAATTAGGTGTCTGCAAAACCCGATATCGCCAGCCCTCGATTCAGCTGAGAGCTCGGCCCACTCCGTTTGCGTACTCGCCTGCACCCATGGCACAGTCCCCATAGATTTGATTCCAGGCATCCACCTCGAACCGAATGACGACAAACAGTATCCTTATGAGATTCTTTGATGGACAGACTGTGACGATTTCAAATGATTATTTCTTCACTTTATCATCATTTTGATCTTCGTTTTGATCTTCGTTCCGTTTCAAATCTTCATTTCCATCTTCGTTTTGATCACCATTTTTTCTTCGTTTTCATCTTCGTTCCATTTCAAATCTTCATTTCCTTCTTCATTTGAAT